TGCTGAACCACAGCTTAGGAGGAGCCTTTTTCACCAAAACTCAAATTCCTGTCCTCCTCTAATATCCACTAGGTGGCGCTGGGTTGCCTCAAGTTCTGAGATAACTCTTGAGGCCCAAAGATCATACAACAGGCAGTCCAAGGTCTTGTCTCCTTTCAACTTCCCAGCACAATTCAAACCTAAGAAATCATAGTCCATTCTTCCTTTAGAAATACAGAGTTGGCCGGGGGCAGTGGCTCACGCCTGTAATCTAAGCACTTTGGGAGGCCAAGGTGGGTGGATTTCCTGAGCTCAGGAGTTCAAGATCAGCCTCGGCAACAGGGCAAAACTCCATCTTTTTATTAAAAACAAAAAACAAAAAACAAAACAAAACAGAAAGAAAAAGAAATATAAAGTCAATGCCTTGTTTTTTATTTTAAAAAATTCCTAAGAAACAGGGTCTCGCTATGTTGCTGGGACCGACACAGAGCACTAGAAGCTCAAACTCCTGGGCTCAAGTGATCCCCCAACCTTGGCCTCTCCTGTTAGCTGGGATTACAGGCATACACCACCAGACCACTTTGGTTTTTAATCCCAAGTTAGCCTGATTTTTGCTTGTAATCTAATCCTAGTTGAGGCATACACTCAGAATAAGAGAACAATTTCAAAGGAAGAGACTGAATACCAGGCAATTCAAGACCAAGCAGTAGTAATTCTCTCAACACAGAGAAAACATTAGTGTGACAACAATGAATAAAAGAAAGGGTCAGACTACATGACCACAAAGGTCCCATTCTCCAACAGAGAAGGGGCCAGAAAACAAAGCAATCACCTGGCAAGGGCTGAAGTTCTCTCACAGCTGGGAGGCTCAGACCCCAGGGTCACCAAGAAAAAAACAAATACCAGTTGCAATTTATGTCACAAACGACAAATCATTCTCCTATACTTAAGGACTTACATTTCCCAAAAGAAGAATGAACAAGGGATGTGAGCAGAGAGCTCACAGAAAAGACAGGCGGTTCAAACATGTGAAGAGATGCATCAATGCATTACAGTAAAGCTACAAAGAGACACTATTCCCCACCTATTATTCTGGTTAAAATCCAAAATTTCATGAGACTCAATGTTGGCAAAGCCGGGGGTAAGAGGCATCTTGTGTGCTGCTAATGCGAGTACAGACAGAGGTACAAACCCCTGAGAAGGAAACACAACGTTACAAATGCCATTTTCCCCATTCGCAATGCTTTTAGGAATTTATCTGATAGATACAGAGGCGCACGTACAAAATAACACAGGTAAATGGTTAGCACTGGAAGGCTGGAACCAATTCAATGATGGGGGCAGTTGAGGCTAACTAGGCAGCCAAAGAAAGAACTTAAAAGTCTTTTTTTTTTTTTTTTATGGGCTCTTGCCATGTTGCCCAGGCCAGAGTACAGTGTACAACCATGCCTCACGGTAATCTTGATTTCCAAGGCTCAAGTGATTCTCCCACCTCAGCCTCCTGAGTAGGGTGGGGCTACAAGCTTGTGACACCACATTTGGATATTTAAAAATTTTTTTTTGTAAAAATGGGGGTCTAGCCGGGCGCGGTGGCTCAAGCCTGTAATCCCAGCACTTTGGGAGGCCGAGGCGGGTGGATCACGAGGTCAGGAGATCGAGACCATACTGGTCAACATGGTGAAACCCCGTCTCTACTAAAAATACAAAAAATTAGCTGGGCATGGTGGCACATGCCTGTAATCCCAGCTACTGAGGAGGCTGAGGCAGGAGAATCGCTTGAATCCGGGAGGCGGAGGTTGCAGTGAGCCGAGATCGCGCCATTGCACTCCAGCCTGGGTAACAAGAGTGAAACTCCGTCTCCAAAAAAAAAAAAAAAAAAAAAAATGGGGGTCTAACATTGTTGCCCAGGCTGACCTTGAACTTCTGACCTTAAGCCACCTTGGCCTCCCAAAGTGCTGTGATTATAGGCGTGAGCTACCACGCCCAGCCTGCTTGTCCACATTTAATAGCGGTGATGCTTAGCCAATATAATCAGAACAGTGAGGTATCCTCAAGGCTTGCTGCCCTCAAACATTCAGTGTCACAAACCCCAACTCCTTCAGAGCAAGGAGAAAACTAGCCCCAGCTCCACCCACTGAGCCTCAATTTCCTCATAAGTGAAGTGGGGTCAGTGACATCCATTCAGTGGCTCATGCCTGTAATCCTATCACTTTGGGAGGCCGAGGCAGGCAGATCATGAGGTCAGGAGTTCGAGACCAGCCTGACCAACATGGAGAAACCCCGTCTCTACAAAAATTAGCTCGGTGTGGTGGTGTGCACCTATAATCCCAACTAGTTAGGAGGCTGAGACAGGAGAATGGCTTGAACCCAGGAAGCAGAGGTTGCACTGAGCCAAGATTGCACTACTGCACTCCAGCCTGGGTGACAGTGCAAGACTCCATCTCAAAAAAAAATAAAAACAAAAATAAACACTTCAGACTCTCATATATAATTTCAGCCTCATTTTCTGTTTTTTTTTTGTTTTTTTTTTTTTTTTTTTTTTTTTTTTTTTTTGAGACAGAGTTTCGCTCTTGTTACTCAGGCTGGAGTGCAATGGCGCGATCTCGGCTCACCGCAACCTCCGCCTCCTGGGTTCAGGCAATTCTCCTGCCTCAGCCTCCTGAGTAGCTGGGATTACAGGCACGCGCCACCATGCCCAGCTAATTTTTTTATTTTTAGTAGAGACGGGGTTTCACCATGTTGACCAGGTTGGTCTCGATCTCTCGACCTCGTGATCTACCCGCCTCGGCCTCCCAAAGTGCCGGGATTAAAGGCTTGAGCCACCGCGCCCGGCCTCATTTTCTGTTTTAAGAGGAGCCTGGAGGCCGGGTGCGGCGGCTCAAGCCTGTAATCCCGGCACTTTGGGAGGCCGAGGCGGGTGGATCACGAGGTCAAGAGATCGAGACCATCCTGGTCAACATGGTGAAACCCCGTCTCTACTAAAAATACAAAAAATTAGCTGGGCATGGTGGCGCGTGCCTGTAATCCCAGCTACTCAGGAGGCTGAGGCAGGAGAATTGCCTGAACCCAGGAGGCGGAGGTTGCGGTGAGCCGAGATCGCGCCATTGCACTCCAGCCGGGGTAACAAGAGTGAAACTCCGTCTCAAAAAAAAAAAAAAAAAAAAAAAAAAAATGCCTGGAGATGGTGGTTGTAGCAGAGTGCATGCTACTCGGCAAAGAGGCTGGCATTTTAAAAATGGCCACCAGCTAGGCATGGTGGCTGATGCCCGTAATCCCAGCACTTTGGGAGGCCGGGGCAGGCAGATCACCTGAGGTTGGGAGTTCAAGACCAGCCTGACCATAATGGGAGAAACCCCACCTCTACAAAAAATATAAAATTAGCCGGGCGTGGTGGTACATGCCTGTAATCCCAGCTACACAGGAGACTGAGACAGGAAAATCGCTTTAACCTGGGAGGTGGAGGTAGCAGTGAGCCGAGATTGTGCCATTGCACTCCAGCCTAGGTAGCAAGAGTGAAACTCTGTCTCAAAAAAAAATTAAAATTAAAATTAAAAACAGCCACCAAGGTCACTGCTTTCAAGCGCAGCCACATGACCATCCCTTCCCAGTGTTCTCCTGCCCCAACCTCAGGAAACCCTGATGCTCACACCCCAGGAGAACAGTGGTCAGTTCCAGGGAGCCCTATCTGTTGACGCTGCTCCTCAGGCCCAGGCAGGCTGGCCCATGAGAAGGTTAATAAGCACACTTGTGGGAAGAAAGCTGCCCAGCTGCCAAGGCAAGAGATTGAAGGCACCAGCTGTCCTGGTATAATAAATAACTGATTACTTAGTTTTAGCAATGATACAAATATATTAGGAATAATCACATCATCAATTATATAATCAATCTTATTAAATCATTATTCTTTATTAATCTTTGCTTTAGTATTATAGCATAGAATCATTTTAGTTTTTTTTTTTTTTTTTTGAGGCAGAGTTTCACTCTTGTTACCCAGGCTGGAGTGCAATGGCACGATCTCGGCTCACCGCAACCTCCGCCTCCTGGGTTCAGGCAATTCTCCTGCCTCAGCCTCCCGAGTAGCTGGGATTACAGGCACACGCCACCATGCCCAGCTAATTTTTTGTATTTTTAGTAGAGATGGGGTTTCACCACGTGGACCAGGATGGTCTCGATCTCTTGACCTCGTGATCCACCCGCCTCGGCCTCCCAAAGTGCTGGGATTACAGGCTTGAGCCACCGCGCCCGGCCCTCATTTTAGTCTTATAGTATAAACGATCGGGTGAAATATAATTAGGAACTGAAGAGACACTGTGAGAAGTGATCAGGAGGCGAGAGTGAGAGCCTTGCGGTAGTGCCAGTGCCTGGGAGGGTGCCTGTTACTTAGCAAGCAGGCCTTGTGGTAACGCCAGTGCCTGGGAAGGCGCCCGATACTTGGCAGGCTGTGAAGGGGAGTTTCTCTTTCACTGCGGGAGTTCAGAGAACACTCTGCTCTGCCTGACTCTTGAGGAAAGGCTGACATTAGCCAGGCCTGCCTGCAGACATCCAGGGGCTTAAATGCATCTCTGTGGTGCTGTGCTCAGATGGTCACCATCCTTGCCCACCTTCGTGTTCCGCTTTCTCACCCAGTGCTCTTTTTAAGTTCTTAGAAGTTGTGAGAAGAATAGAGGAACCCTAAAAGCCTTTGATCTTTCTGGTAAGTGCATGGAAAGATGCTGGCGTCTGTGCCTCCCCTCCTTGCAGCGGCTACCTGAAAGGGAGGGGCCCCTGTACTGTAAGCGTGTGATTTGCTTGACCCTATCAATCACATCAGATAATTCACTCTCCTTACCCTGCCCTCTGCCTTGTATACAATAAATAGCATGTCCAGGCATTCGGGGCCAATACTGGACTCCACGCCTTGGTAGTCCCCCAGGCCCAGCTGAATTCTTCTCTCTGTGTCTTGTGTCTTTCTTTCCTGTGATATATCATCTCCACACACAAAAGAACACCCACTAGACCCTGTACACGCCCACCTGTCTTACCTGTCGTAAGCTTCCTTGAGGTCCCTGGCCAGCTTGCACTTGGGCAGGATGTGATGGAACGGGGACTGAGGACCTTCATTTCCTACAAGAATCACAACATAAGATTTGCAGCTCTCAAAGTAAGGAAACTTTTCTTTTTCAGGTGGAGTTTCGCTCTTGTCTGCCCAGGCTGGAGTGCAATGGCGTGATCTCAGGTCACTGAAACCTTCGCCTTCCAGGTTCAAGCAATTCTCCTGCCCCAGCCTCCCAAGTAGCTGGGATTACAGGAGCGGGCCACCACACCTGGCTAATTCTGTATTTTTAGTAGAGACGGGGTTTCACCATGTTGTTCAGGCTGTTCTTGAACTCCTGGCCTCAGATGATTCACCCACCTCAGCCTCCCAAAGTGCTGGGATTACAGGTGTGAACCACTGCACCCCGCCAGAAACTTTTATAAGGTAGAATAGGGAAAACCTTTAAAAACAATTTTACCTCAAAGGTAATTTTAGGTAACTTTAAACCAAACCTCTGGAAACTACCCACTTCTTTTTTTTTTTTTTTTTTTTGAGATGGAGTTTCGCTCTTGTTACCCAGGCTAGAGTGCAATGGCGCGATCTCGGCTCACCGCAACCTCCGCCTCCTGGGTTCAGGCAATTCTCCTGCCTCAGCCTCCTAAGTAGCTGGGATTACAGGCACGTGCCACCATGCCCAGCTAATTTTTTGTATTTTTAGTAGAGACGGGGTTTCACCATGTTGACCAGGATGGTCTTGATCTCTCGACCTCGTGATCCACCCGCCTCGACCTCCCAAAGTGCTGGGATTACAGGCTTGAGCCACCGCGCCCGGCCTTACCCACTTCTTTTTAATAAAATATGTGCATCATGCAAACTAAAATTAGACTGAGACTGATTTGTTCAACCATGACTATATGGATTATTTGTATTTAAACTTCACCACTGCCCCTCCCAACCTTGTAGTCACAGGCATTGCAGGGGAAGCCATTTTACTGCTCCCTCCTTGCAGGCTTCTCTCTGACCAGCAGGCCCCACCCTCTCTCTCTGTTATCAGGTATTTGCATGCCATGTCCTACTCATCCCTCTCAAGTGTGTATGCTAATGCAATTTACTTTTATGGCTGAAAAGCTTTTTTTTAAGACAAGGTCTTGCTCTGGCACCTGAGCTGGTATGCAGTGGAGCAATCATAGCTCACTTCAGTCTTAACTCCTCAGGCTCAAGCAACACTCTCACCTAGCTGGGACCACATATGTGTACCACTAGACCTGCTGATTTTTTAATTTCTTGTAGAGATGGGGTACTCGCTACGTGGCCCAGGCTGGTCTCAAACTCCTGGGCTCAAGTGATCCTCCCGCCTTAGCCTCCCCAAGTGCTGGGATTACAGGTGTCAGCTACCACATCCAGCCAAAAAGTCTTTTATTCATCCTTTTTCATAAATTTCTAAAAAAATATAGACTTAAAATAATTTTTACTTCCTGTGATATAAAGTCATGGACTCTAAAAAGATAATGCTCAAAAAAACAAAACGTTTAGATTATCACAATTCTAATTAGTACATAATTGGCCAAAATAGAAATATATATATAAAAATTTTGACAGATAAATGTCAAACATAAGTTTTTTGTTTGGTTTTGTTTTCTGAGACAGAGTCTCGCTCTGTCCGTCATGCTGGAGTGCAGTGGTACAATCTAAGCTCACTGCAACCTCTGCATCCCAGGGCTCAGGTGATTCTCCCACCTCAACATCCTGAGTAGCTGGACAGGCACACATGACCACGCCTGGCTAATTTTTGTGGCTTTTCTTGTAGAGACAGGATTTCACGATGTTGCCCACACTGGTCTCAAACTCCTGAGCTGAAGCAATCCACCTGCCTCCACCTTCCTAAATGCTGGGATTACAGGTATGAGCCACCGTGCCCAGCCACAAGTGAATTTTTACTGAAAATGCCGCCGGGCTCAGTGGCTCATGCCTATAATCCCAGCACTTTGGGAGGCCAAGGCAGGTGGATCACCTGAAGTCAGGAGTTCAAGACCAACCTGGCCAACATGGTAAAAACCAGTCTCTATTAGAAATGTAAAAATTAGCTGGGCATAGTGGTGGGCGCCTGTAACCCCAGCTACTCAGGAAGCTGAGGCGGGCGAATTGCTTGAACTCGGGAGGCAGAGGTTGCAGTGAGCCAAGATCACACCATGCACTCCAGCCTGGGTGACAAAGTGAGACTCCACTCAAAAAAAAAAAAAACGTTTTTTTTTTTTTTTTTTTTTACTGTACTTGAGTCAGAGAGGCTGTTCTTTTTTTATTGTTCACTTATGTATGGCAATTGCTACTTTTACTTATTGCTAGAACAACTAGGTCTGATTTCAGTTTTGTTCTTTTTTTTTTTTTTTTTTTTGTGAGACGGAGTTTCGCTCTTTGCTCTTGTTACCCAGGCTGGAGTGCAATGGCGCGATCTCGGCTCACCGCAACCTCCGCCTCCTGGGTTCAAGCAATTCTCCTGCCTCAGCCTCCTGAGTAGCTGGGATTACAGGCACACGCCACCATGCCCAGCTAATTTTTTTGTATTTTTAGTAGAGACGGGGTTTCACCATGCTGACCAGGATGGTCTCGATCTCTCGACCCCGTGATCCACCCGCCTCGGCCTCCCAAAGTGCTGGGATTACAGGCTTGAGCCACCGCGCCCGGCCCCAGTTTTGTTCTTAATTCTCTCTTTTGTCATGGACATGTTTGCCAAAGAAAATGGAGAAGGGAAGAGTTTGTTACAGGTCTCCCTCTGTGTTTCAAAATCTTTACAGTAGGCCAAAAATCATGCAATGTTCCACCTGCAAAAATTATTTTTTAAAATTGGTTAGCTGATAACTTAGTTAGGTCCTCCTTCAATCTGGCCAAAAGCAAAGAACTAGAAACTGCCCACCTCAACTCAGCTGGATATTTCTAACACTTTTCTGCCCCAAGGAGTAAATACTTCCTTCAACATGTCCAACAGGACCAGCACTAGGCAGAGGTGCCTGACCTATGTGAATGGTGATCATGCAACAGTACGTGGGAAGAAAGAACATTTCTGGTGAGGAAATCTATTTCAGAACATCCATCCAGGAAAAGTTCATCTACAAACCTGCCCCCTGGGAGTCTTCCTGTGCTCCCGAGACACAATCAGCCCAGTGTGAAGATCATGTACCTTCTCTGAGCCTTAGTTTCCACATCTGCAAAATGAGGATGATCATGGACCCTGCCGTGCAAAGCTGTTGTGAGGACTTCGTTTTCAATGCCCAGCTCACCAAAAGCTGATGGTTACAAGCTCCTGACTACTGTCCTGGTGTTTGGGTGGGTAAGGCCCCACCAACGTCTGCACTGTTGGCACTGAATGACAGCCCCTTCACGGAGGTCTGCACTGCGGAGAGGCCACTAGCCAGCCCAGGCCCATGCCCACCACGCCCTCGTGCACTCACCATCAGCCATGGCGGACACCTCATCCTGGAGCGCCAGGATCAGCTTGGCCTCCCGGGTGAGGTACTGGCAGCGGCGCTCCTCATGCTGCAGCACGGTGGCAATACGACGGGACAGGTTGTGCAGACAGTTTATCACTGATGGGTCTGCGTTGGCCTGTGGGAGAGAGACCATACACAGACTCAAATGTGCACACAGGGACACAGCTGGACATACTTCAAATGGAGCTAATACACGTGCACAGAAAAAACTCAAACCATGAAAAAACCACCTCTACTCCTTTGCAAGTTTCCCAGACTCCTCTGCAGAAGCCACTGATGCTCATTTCCTGAGTCCCCTCCAGGGCCCATCCACAGAAATGCTGGCTGTCAGCTCCCATCCTCTATTCTTATGAGCGGCTGCCTGAATAGTAGCACAGAGATGGCTCTGGAAATGCCTGGTGCTCTATGGGGGCCTTGTTGCTCTTAAGAAAGGGTAACAATGGTGCCTCCCTCACCAAGGACTGAATGAAGAAATTAGTGAGACATGTCACAAACTCAGAACAGAGCCTGTCCTGAGCAAAGACCCTGGTAGTGCCTGTGGTCACCACTGTACTGCTGACTACGGTAGGCAGAATCAGTCTACAATACGTAAGAATTCAGTCACAACAGGCCACGTTACTGTAGGGGTGCAGAGTACAAAAACAGAGGCACCATGCTAATTGTTCACTGAATACTTTTGGTCCTCAAGGATGAGAAGCTCTTCCCAGCAGGAATGACAATGGTTGACAAGAAACCCACAGGCTCCAGGTCCACATCTCTGCCTCAGCACTCCTTCTGCAGCCGTGTTGACTGGGTCAAAGAACAGTACAGGAGACTCTCAGGAACAAGAGGGGGCCTCGCCCCTCTGGAACCTATCAGGGATCAAATCAGCCAGGCAAGCACATCTGCCTGAGCCAAGGGTGGAGACATGCAGCTGTGGGGGTCTGTGAAAACACTGAAGGGAGCAGATAACTGGGTCCACCATGACTCAGTACTTCTGGAGGCCAAGAGGACTGCTGAGTCATCCTGTGGGGTGGAGGTGGGACAAGGGAAAGGGGTGAATGGTGCTGCTGATTACAACTTCTGCTGCCACCTCCCACTCCTGTTTATCTGAGAGGTAAGGCTATGCCCAAAGTGTTTGCAGCCACACTTTAGGGGCAAAGCCTGACCCAGACAATAAATACTTTCTTCACCTGGAGCTAAAGAAATTCTCTATATTCTCAGCAGATACCATGTTTACAAACAGAACTCCTACCTGGGCGGACTTACAACAAGGCAACATTCCTTGCCAGAGAAAGAACTGACTGTTGCTCCCATGCCACGCCTACCGCCGGGCAGCAGACCTGCCCCTCCATGTCAAGGGCATCCCCTCACAGTGTCCCAGGAACCACAGGGCTAACATATGGGGTATATACAATTGCCTCAAAACAAAATATCCATTTGGAAGAATCCGTATATAAATACTTCCATGAGCAAAGCAAAGTGGAGGAGAATAATCCTGGATGTGATCATTCAGCTGAGGCACAACAGTGTCCATGTGTTGGATGTCCAGGGCCCATTTGCTCGACCTTTCCTGACATACAAGGTGGTGCAGTCCCCAGTGACACTTAACGACCAGCAATCACAGGATGTGCCAGCATATCCTGTTTGTACAAGCCTGACACTGAGTGAGCTAACTGAGAAAGCTAACACCTAAGGTGTGCAGCACTAATGGGAACTCTTAGAAACACCGTATTTTCACCGTACACGGTATGAAGTGGCATGAAGTCTAAGGCATCACCCATGAGACTTTCTCATCCCCAAAACGTGTACTCAAATAGAACCAAGGCTTCAGAGTTAACTTCTAGTTTGCAGGAAAAACAGCGACAAAGAGCAAGTCTGAGTGTGCAATGAGATGAGTCCAAATGTGGAACATTTGATGGAACAAAGGGAGGGAAACCTTTGGACTGGCAGAAGTAAAGATACCACATGCACTAGCTGGGCTGGGTTTGCATCCTGGTTCAGACAGACCAGCTGTGAACATGCTTTCCCAATCAGGAAAAGTTTCAATGAACCAGGTACTAGTTGATACCGACTTATTACAGCAAATTTTTTCAGATGTACAAAGGGTATCATGACCAAAAATAAGTGCCCATATTTTATACAGATACTTTCTGAAGTATATAGGGATGAACAGTCATAAGATCTGAGACTTGCCTTGAAATAGAGGGAAGGAAATATATGGAGCCAGGGTGTAAAGGAACCTGAGACAAACATAAGGTTTGTTGGTCTGCTCTCTCTAGTTCACGGCTTAAAATTTTTCAAAGTTAAAAAAAAAAAAAGTGCATTTTTTTTTCAGGGTCTTACTCTGTTGCCCAAGCTGGAGTACAGTGGTATGATTACTGCTCACTGCCACCTTGACCTTCCAGGCTCAGGTGATTTTCCTACCTCAGCCTCCCAAGTAGCTGGGACTACATATGCACATCAACACACCTGCTAATTTTTTTTTTTTTTTTTTTTGAGATGGAGTTTCACTCTTGTTACCCAGGCTGGAGTGCAATGGCGCGATCTCGGCTCACCGCAACCTCCGCCTCCTGGGCTCAGGCAATTCTCCTGCCTCAGCCTCCTGAGTAGCTGGGATTACAGGCACGTGCCACCATGCCCAGCTAATTTTTTGCACTTTTAGTAGAGACGGGGTTTCACCATGTTGACCAGGATGGTCTCGATCTCTCGACCTCGTGATCCACCCGCCTCGGCCTCCCAAAGTGCTGGGATTACAGGCTTGAGCCACCGCGCCCGGCGCACACCTGCTAATTTTGTACTTTTGTAGAGACAGGGTTTTGCCCAGGCTGGTCTCAAACTCCTGGGCTCAAGTGATCCACCAGCCTTGGCCTCCAAAGTGGTAGGATTACAGGAGTGAGCCACTGTGCCTGGCCAAAAGTGTACATTTAAAAATGACTACTAAAAAGAAAGAAAAAAACTTGTCCACCCAAAAATACAAACTCTTTACATTATCAAAATTTCTCCCACACGTCAATATCATAGCTCGCTGAAGTCCTAGACTATCTTTTTTCCTGTTGCTTTTTTTTTTTAAAGGTGGGGTTTCACCATGATAGCCAGGCTGGTCTTGAACTCCTGAACTCAGATGATCCACCCACCTCGGCCTCCCAAAGTGCTAGGATTACAGGCATGAGCCACAGCGCCCGGCCCTTTTTTTTTTCTTTTCTTTTTTTTTTTTTCAAAGATGCGAGTTTCGCTATTGTTGCCCAGGCTGGAGTACAATGGCATGATCTCAGTTCACCACAACTTCTGCCTCCTGGGTTCCAGTGATTCTTCTCCCTCAGCCTCCCAAGTAGCTAGGATTACAGGCATGCACCATTATACCTGGCTAGTTTTGTATTTCTTTTCTTTTCTTTTTTTTTTTTTTTTGAGACAGAGTTTCACTCTTGTTACCCAGGCTGGAGTGCAATGGCACGATCTCAGCTCACTGCAACCTCCGGCTCCTGGGTTCAGGCAATTCTCCTGCCTCAGCCTCCTGAGTAGCTGGGATTACAGGCACGCGCCACCATGCCCAGCTATTGTTTTGTATTTTTAGTAGAGACGGGGTTTCACCATGTTGACCAGGATGGTCTCAATCTCTTGACCTTGTGATCCACCCGCCTCGGCCTCCCAAAGTGCTGGGATTACAGGCTTGAGCCACCGCGCCCGGCTTTTTTCTTTTTTTTTTCAGATGGAGTTTTGCTCTTGTTGCCCAGGCCTGAGTGCAATGGCACGATCTCAGCTCACTGCAACCTCCACCTCCCGGATTCAAGTGATTCTCCTGCCTCAGCCTCCTTAGTAGCTGGGATTACAGGCATGTGCCACCACATCTGGCTAATTTTTAATTTTTAGCAGAGACAGGGTTTCTCCATGTCGGTAAGGCTGGTCTCAAACTCCCAACCTCAGGTGATCTGCCTGCCTTGGCCTCCCAAAGTGCTGGGATTACAGGTGTGAGCCACCGCACCCAGCTCCTGTTGCTTGTACACAGCCATTATCAGTCCATACTTCTTCAGGTTCTGGTCTCATCTCCATTCCACACCCTCAACGGCAAGAGAATGAACCAGTGTATAATAATCAACACACAAGCCAGGGAGAAAATCTTTACGCAGTTGTAAAAGCTGCTTTTTTTTAAAAATAATACTTCTAACAGTGGGATTGCTAGATCTAAGGGCATCATGTGCTCTGCTGTCAAACACTGCTCCCCAGAGATGAGGGCCTGCCTGCAGCATCCTGAGTGGCGCTGTGGCTGCTTCTCACCAACAGTCCCACAGGGGTTATCGGTGTTGAAAGGTGGACAATATTCGTCATGGATTTTGTTTATTCATTTGCTTGTGGCTTTTTTTTTTTTTTGAGATGCAGCCTCACTCTTGTTGCCCAAGTGGTATGCAGTGGTGCGTTCTTGGCTCACTGAAACCTCTGCCTCCTGAGTTTAAGTAATTCTCCTGCCTCAGCCTCCCAAGTAGCTGGGATTACAGGCACATGCCATCACACCCAGCTGATTTTTATATTTTTAAGAGAGACAGGGTTTCACCATGTTGGCCAGGCTGGTCCCCAGCTCCTGACCTTAGATGATCCACCTGCCTCGGCCTCCCAAAGTGCTGGGATTACAGGCATTAGCCACCGTGCTTAGCTGCTTGTTTTTTACTTAATTCATTTTTCTTTGTGGGTCTTTGTATTATACAATTATTTAAGAAATACAAAGATATGAAAATGCAAACACTATGCTCTAGTTTCTCTTCAAAATGAAATCTTTCACCTTTTACTAAAAAAAAAAAAAAAAAAAAAAAAGAGGCTGGGCGTGGTGGCTCAAGCCTGTAATCCCAGCACTTTGGGAGGCCGAGGCGGGTGGATCACGAGGTTGAAAGATCAAGAACATCCTGGTCAACATGGTGAAACCCCGTCTCTACTAAAAATACAAAAAATTGGCTGGGCATGGTGGCGCGTGCCTGTAATCCCAGCTACTCAGGAGGCTGTGGCAGAAGTGCCTGAGCCCAGGAGGCGGAGGTTGCGGTGAGCCGAGATCACGCCATTGCACTCCAGCCTGGGTAACAAGAGCGAAACTCCGTCTCAAAAAAAAAAAAAAAGAAAAGAAAAAAGAAAATACAAACACTACAAAAGTATATCAAGCAGAAAGTGAAGAACTTCTGCCCCAGGGGCCATTAACAAATCATTTTGTTTTAATTTGCAGTTCCTTATTTATCAACAAGGTAGGTCTGCCTTAAAAATTAAGCTCCAGCTGGGTGTGGTGGCTCACACCTGGAATCCCAGCACTTTTGGTGGTGGAGGAGAGAAGATCCTTTGAGCCCAGGAGTTCAAGATCAGCCTCAGCAGTAAGGTGAAAACTCGTTTCTACAAAAAAATATAAAAATTAGCAGGGGCTGGGTGCAGTGGCTCACGCCTCTAATCCCAGAACTCTAGGCAGATCACCTGAGGTCAAATTTCAAGACCAGCGTTGCCAATATGGCAAGACCCTGTCTCTACTAAAAATACAAAAATTAGACAGGCATGGTGGTGCACACCTGTAATCCCAGCTACTCTGGAGGCTGAGTCATGAGACTCACTTGAGTCTGGGAGGTGAGTACTGCAATGAGCCAAGTACGTGCTGCTGCACTCCAGCCTGGGCGACACAGTGAGACTGTCTCCAAAAAAAAATGAGAGAGAGAGAATAACTACTAATGGATATGGGGTTTCCTTTTGGGGTGGTGAAAATGTTTTGGATCTAGGTAATGGTGATGGTATACAACATGAATGTACCAGATACCACTGATGTGTATACTTTAAAATGACTAACGGTGTTAACATGTATTTTACTAAAACAAAAAGAGGGAAACAATGAAGTGCAGTCTGTCTGCACCCCAGGAGGGCCAGCACCACGCCCACTGCAGTCCAAGTTCCGAGTCAATGACATACCCAGTGGAAAAGAGCTGCTTCTCCCCGGCCCGCTTTCCTGATCTTAACCATTTACATAAACACTCACCCTCAGTGCAAACACCACATTAAAAAGAATCATAGTAGGTGCCTCCCTCTTCGGGGAAGGATCTGTTTTGGAGACCTGTAAAAGATGCATAATTCTAATTAATTGGGATGACTTTCTAAGGAAAGCTGTTTAGAGATATTCTATGTCAGGCATGGCAAAAGTCCCCAGAATACAACACCAAGGTCTTGGAAAAGCAATGAATGCTCTGGAGGCGTGCCTACTGCATGGACACAAGTCACAACTATGACCAGAGTGGGAAGGTCAGTGCCCTGACTGCCCCAGCTAACAGAAGTGACTGAAAACACCCAGAGAGAACAGGATGGAGAGGGACATAAATGGGTGGAGGACCCAGACCCACACTCCCACTGCATCTACCCAGGTTGTCTCTGCTAAGTATGATGCATACTCAGAACAATTTAGGAACAGGACGATGTTCAGGGCCAACCGAACCCTGAGCAGGGCAGCCAGCCTCACTCCAGAACCAAGTCTTTATCTCTGTGCTCCCAGTTCTGGCATGCAGCCAGCTTCACAAGGACCAGGGCAGTCAAGGGAAGCATTCCAAGGGGCAGGAAGGAACTCTTCAGAGCCAGCTCCAAGTTTTGCCACCAGGGGGAGTCAGAGCCCCAGGCAGCTCAGCACCCATCCCTTAATCCCTTAACCCTGCGTGCCCTTCCTGTCTACAGGGTGTGATCAGGCAGGCTGCCAACTCTCCCCTCCATCGAGGGCGTGTTCCATGGGGCAAGGCACAGGACTACCTCAGAAACTCCTTCCAGGCCAGGCGTAGTGGCTCATGCCTGTAATCCAAGCCAAGGCGGGCGGATCACCTGAGGTCGGTAGTTCAAGACCAGCCTGACCAACACGGTGATACCCTGTCTTTAAAACAAAGAAAGAAAGAAAGAAAGAAACTCCTTCCATGGAGGTTCACAAATAACATCACAGAACCTCACACAATTGCTGGATCTATATAAATGTAGCTACATCCTATGTGTTACTGTGTTATATTGAATCCTTCAGAATCTGAGTAATGTCACTGATTCTGCCTAGATGCAGAGAGGTGACTGGCAGGCTCTGGTGTACAAGTTCCCTTCATCTTGCTATCAAGATAAAGTTCTCAGTGCTGCGACACCCATTCATCAGAGAACACATATAGAGGGTTTAGCACAATAGTAAGTGCAAAATACTACTAATATTAGCTACTAGAGTATCTTTTAATAAGAAGAAATGCTTGTACCACACTGTAGAAAATTCAAAGGTTTGACAGATGCTAGTTAACTCATTATCTTGGCCTCCCCTGGAAACATCCTATGTATAAAGGGGAGGGCCACAGTCAGTAGAGACCGAGAATGTAGACTGTAAAAACTAGGGGCAGGGACTGAAGCACCTGTCTTCATGGGCAAGAACACCCATCTTCTTTTTCCACTGGACTCTCAGGGTTTATAAAGACGCACAGTTCATAGCAGGCGTCTAATCGTGTCTCTTGCCCAATAGTTACCTTCACCAGAGCTGGTTATCAAGCCTCAGTCCTGAGCCCCCAGAGCCAGAATGGGCCAGGCCTGCCAGGTCAGGGAGAGCCGCAGCTGCCCAGAGGGTCTGTGCATGACTAGTGAGAACCACATCTGCCCAAGGAGAGTCCCATCTGCCCAGGGAGAGCCCCATCTGCCCAAGGAGGGCCATACCTGCCCCAGAGCATGCTGTAGCAGTGTTGGGTGCCCAACAAACCGCACATTATCAATCTTCAGTTCAAATTTTTGGCCACACATTTCAGACTTGGTTGCCAAAATTGTTGCCAGAATAACATCTGAAAACCTTAAATTTTAAAAGAGGTAGAATAAAAATACATTAACAAAGTATCACAGCACCATGCCCTGCTGGCCCCAGAGCAGAAGGATCTCAGTAAACTGCACCTTCATGGAGTTGCTCTGCCCGGACTGCTGATGTAAGCTACTAACAGTTGCCCTTCTGTAGCAATCCCAGAGGTTAGGGATGTAAGATCACCAGAATTACAAGGTAAAAGGCATGAGAAGCACAGACTGAAGGCACATGCTGTCATTTGTTGGCATGCTCTATGAAATTCAGGAGAGAAACAGTTGCAGGTTGCTTTTAAAGGGAGCATCAGCTGGAGCCAGCACTGCCCTGAGGAGCTGCTCTTTAAGGCTCAGAGGCGGAGGGGGCCTCTCCCAATTACCCTCAGGTTGCTGGGCTGTACTTTCAACTCCCAGCACCCCAGCCCTTCACCCAGAGCCTCGTGGAGGGTAAGGGGACAGTGCACAGTGACACGCACAGAGCACTGACTTCCTTCCTCATGGCATGGCTGCCCAGCCCTTTCCTTATCCCGAACACTTAAACTTTCCAGTTTTGATCAGGGAGGAAACTTTGTGCAAGATGTGCAGGTCCACGGTGATCACAGCTATTTCCAAATGGCACAAATACAGGGTTGCACAGGACTGGGTGCCATGGAGAAGTGGGAAGAGCTGTGGTGTGGGTGAGAGGGCATCCCTTTTCAAGGTCATCTGTGCCCTATGTCTCCTTACTGGATTCAATGCTGATGCCTCCTGCCTGGGGGGATCCAGATAAGGGATCATCACCTGCAGGGGTGCTGTGGGTGGTGCCGACTCTTATCTTAGAGCCCAGGGCTCTGAGGGTCTCCACTCTAGAGACACAAATGTACTACCTCTGATCTGGACCTAGAAGGAGAGAAGTCCCACACGTATCTCTCCACCCAGGAAAAATATTTCTAGTATCTAGTTCAGGAGGGTACACTGTCTTGGGGAAGGCAGCTGTAGCCTCCCCAGGGCCATATTCTGCCCCTGGGTAGGGAGACCCCTAAGGTCCTGGAAGAGACCACTGAGGACAGACTTTTCTTTTTCTGAGACACAGTCTCACTCCATCGCCTAAGCTGGAGTGCAGTGGTATGATCTCGGCTCGCTGCAACCTCCGCCTCCTGGGCTCAAGTGATTCTCCTGCCTCAGCCTCCTGAGTAGCTGGGATTACAGGTGCGCACCACCATGGCTGACTGATTTTTTGTGTGTTTTTTTTAGTAGAGAAGGGGTTTCACCATGCTGGCCAGGCTGGTCTCGAACTCCTGATCTCACGATCTGCCCGCCTCAGCCACCCAAAGTGCCAGGATTACAAGCCTGAGTCACCGCACCTGGCCAAGGACAAACATTCTAGTATGCATCCCTGCTCATGCTTCTTTCCTGGAGGCCCTCTTGGTGAAGGGTTTGGGGAGACTAACCTCAGCTCTAATAGCAAATGGCAAGTAGCTACAGGATTCTTTCCAAGTCTGTCATGGGTTGTGGGGCTCATGCTGTTTTCCAGCCTTCCTCTGGAACTGGCACAACCCTCTAACCATACAAAGTCGCCCTAGGCCCACAAACCAACCACATACGAGAGTTTAGTCAAACCTATTTGTGCCATATGGAAACAGCCTCTCACCCAGTCAGGGTATAGTTGGACCTTCTGAAGTCAATCTTATCAGAGATATCCTGGGAAATGCAGGACCCACAACCAAGTCCTCAGCAACCCACTGCAGGTCTACCCTGCAGAGATGGTGGATTCCAGCATCTTACACCACAGGCATACTATACTTTCTTCAAAAATCCTAAATGGCTCACTCTGTCCTATAACTCCCATCTGTGGGACATGGTAATGTTGAAGGAAGGTTTGAGGTATTAAAACACCACCAAACACTTCTGCTCTAGCAACTGGCCCAGTGCCAGCACTTCACATCCGCGCTAAACAGTGCCCCTCCACTCTGCCACCCAGTGACTCAGGAGACACAGAGACAACAGAAAAATCACCACCACCACTCCGGAAAGGCCCCTTGCTGTGACACCCCAAAATCTCCACTAAAAACTGCTGCTCTGTCATAAAGAGTCACAGCCATGTCTCAGCCTCAGCCCTCGGGTACCAGTCCCGGGACCAAATTTAGTTTGGCTGTAAGATGGGTCCTGGGACTTTCAGAGGCAAACAGTGGTAGCCCAGTTCACATCTATAAACACACAAACTTCAAGGCACCCTTGAGACAGCCAAATAAAAGGCTCTTTCCCTGTTAGAGGCCAGGGTCAGCAGAGAGAGCCAACTGGAAATATGTGAGCTTAAGTTAAAAGTCACATTGGGTGGGCACGGTGGCTCACGCCTGTAATCCCAGCACTTTGGAAGGCCGAGGCAGGCAATCACCTGACATCAGGAGTTCAAGACCAGCCTGGTCAACATGGCGAAACCCCAGCTCTATTTAAAAATACAAAAATTAGCTGAGCGTGCTGGTAAGCACCTGTAGTCCCAGCTATTTGGGAGGCTGAGGCATGAGAATCGCTTGAACCCGGGAGGCAGAGGATGCAGTGAGCCAAGATTGCGCCATTGCACTCCAGCTTTGGTGACAGAGCAAGAGTCTGTCTCAAAAGAAAAAAAAAAGGTCACATTGACTTAGTGGCTGTTCATGGAGCCCTCTGAGGCAGCCAGCAGGGTGACAGATAGCCACTCTGTTTATCTGAGCAAATCTTGCCCAGAGAGAAATCCACTCCCCACACATTAACATTACACACATATGATGACAAAACACTTGAATGACTTTATACTTCAATGTGTCTATTAATGTAATATGCATAGAGACACAGTTATATTCATGAGATTGACAGTGGGGCATAACTTATAAACAGCAAACTGAACCACAAACAAGTGGCAATATTTGTTTTTTGGCTTCCAGTATTTACAAAAATCCTTTTCCTTCATTTTGATGGTAAAAGACCTAATAAATGTACTGCAACACAATAAAACATCTCTTACAAAAACTGAAGATTCCTAGAATAACCTGGAAATTAAAGAAAACACATTTAGGCCGGGTGCAGTGGCTCAAGCCTGTAATCCCAGCACTCTGGGAGGCCGAGGCGGGTGGATCACGAGGTCGAGAGATCGAGACCATCCTGGTCAACATGGTGAAACCCCATCTCTACTAAAAATACAAAAAATTAGCTGGGCATGGTGGTGCGTGCCTGTAATCCCAGCTACTCAGGAGGCTGAGGCAGGAGAATTGCCTGAACCCAGGAGGCGGAGGTTGCGGTGGGCCGAGATCACGCCATTGCACTCCAGCCTGGGTAACAAGAGTGAAACTCCGTCTCAAAAAAAAAAAAAAGAAAACTCATTTAGGAATATGAACGAGCCCAGCCAGAAAACAGGCCAGGACTTTCTGTAACTGCCAAGCCCTTGTGGAGCAGGGCGTGCTCTCTAGCTTGGGCAAAAAAAGGATGAGAAGACATCCTGGAAGGGAGCTCAACTCTGCTCACCCAACCAAGCTCCCTGCTGGAAGTTCACATACGCTGTGTGTGCCTCCAAGGCCCAGATGAGATGCCCTGTCCAGGGGAATGGAAGAGTCTCGCCTGATCCACGCCCTCTTGGACAAACACCTTATCAATTCTAGGAGAACATTTCTGCCTCTGCTAAGCACACTCAATAGCATCTAGGCCTGAGCATCACACTTAATCCTCAACCCTTGGGAGAGGCCCCCACAAAACCCCTCAGAAAAACAAAAACAAGGAGCAACAGTCACAGGTCTCTCTAAGGTAGCAGTGGACTAGGGAGATGACAGACTCCATTCCTGCTTGCCCACCACCCTCACAGGACTACTTGTGCCTACCTGGAGGAAGAGAAGGCTTGTGTGACATGCCTGGTCCCAAAAGTCTCCCTGATGCCAGTCAACCCATGCCTTGGCCTCTCAGGTAATGTGAAATAGCTAAATGACTGGGTGGAGAAAAAGCAGGGGTTGTAGGGAAGTCTGGGCATTGGCTGGGGAATTGGTGCAGTGAAGTCCACGCCTGTGCGCCTCATCAGTCACTCTTCAACATTGAGGGAAACCAGGAATTAAGCACAATTACAAGAAGAGAAGGCAGCCGGAATCAAGACAGAAAGATGGTGGAGAGGTCTTGGTCTTACCCTGCAACCAATTGCTCATCGGTTGGAGGACATGGCTCGCTGAAATGGGAACAGGACCATCAAGACCAAACAAAAACATATCGCTTTTTTTAAAACCATGAAAAGGTACAAGGCTGTTTTATAAAAACTGTATTAAAGTCTAAGCAGAAGTGCCACCATTAAGCATTAACTTTTGAGTATCAAGACTGAGCAACTTACCAGACAAGAAACAGGATCACACACTCCCCATGCTGAACACTTACCATGGGGTTTTCTCACTAAAGGTCTGATTCTCACACAGAAGTACAGGCTGGGCAGGAATGAAAGTCGTTTTTCAGAAGTAAGCACAAGGCTGGAAGAGCTGGGCCAGACCTCAGCGCTATACGTATTAGCTGGATCCCTGTGCACAAGTACCTAATCTTTTATTTTCTTCAAAAGAGATGGGGTCTCGCAATGTTACCCAGGCTGGTCTCATACTCCAGGGCTCAAGCAATCCTCCCATCTCCGCCTCCCAAAGGGCTGGGATTACAGGACTGAGCCACCACGCACAGCCTAAAACTAATCCTTTCATTAATAGTTTGATGATGCATGATGAGAAGTCGGCTACACAGGATCAGATAAGACCCCAGAAGCAAAAGCTTTCTGAAAACTGTAGTGTGTCATATGAATTCCATCAGCTCCAGTTCTGGAGATACTGCGAGTGCCAGCACAGCTGACTTCTCTAAGCCTGGAGCAATTAGGTGGTCATGGTAGATCCATATATAAGTCAAAAAAAATCCAAGCTTCTGCACTATCTCAGTTGAGTTTTTTGTTTTGTTTTGTTTTGTTTTGTTTTTTTTGAGACAGCTCTGTCCCCAGGCTGGAGTGCAGTGGCACGATCTTGGCTCCCTGCAACCTCCGCCTCCTGAGTTCAAGTGATTCTCCTGCCTCCGCCTCCAGGGTAGCTGGGACTATAGGCACGCGCCACCATACCCAGCTAATTTTTGTATTTTTAGTAGAGACGGAGTTTCACCATGTTGGCCTGGCTGGTCTCAAACTCCTGACCTCGTGATCCCCCCACCTTAGCCTCCCAAAGTGCTGCGATTACAGGTGTGAGCCACCGCACCCAGCCAAGATTTTTATAAAGAGTTTAAGAGTTTATTTTCTGGCCACATGTGGTGGCTCATGCCTGTACTGTAGTCCCAGCACTTTGGGAGGCCAAGGTGGGTGGATTGCTTGAGGCCAGGAGTTCGAGAGCAGCCTGACGTCGTGGTAAAATCCTGTCTCTACTAAAAAAAAAAAAAAAAATTGCTGGCCATGGTGGTGTGTGCCTGTAATCCCAGCTACTCAGGAGGCTGAGGCAGGAGATAAGCTTGAACCCAGGAGGTGGAGGTTGCAGTGAGCCGAGATGGCGCCACTGCATGCAAGCCTTGGGCAACAGAGTGAAACTCCATCTCAACAACAACAAAAAACTTAATTTCTTCTGCAGAGATTTGTGTTCTGGGACATACTGTTTTCCATGTATCATGGAAAGAGAAAGGAGACCTGAATCCAGAAGGGGAAACAGTTGGGAGCTCTGCCATGACAGAACCTGAACATGACCCTGAACTTGCACTCACCCCTGTACACTGCCCTACAGCATGGATGCAATGGCTGGGCAGGGGGAGATGCCAAAGCCTGCAGACAAATATGCCTACCATCTTTCTTGTGTGTCAACCTCAGCTACAGAAAGGAGAGTGCATCTTTCTAACACATCAGTGTAGAGCTCTAAACACACAAGCTAATAAGAGGCAAAGCTATCAAGAGAGGCCCTGGTAGAGCCTCATATGTGCCTGGTGGGAGGCCCTGAATGTTGTGAGCTGGAGAGTACCTGCCTGGCTGAGGACCCCATCTGGCTTACGCCCAACTGCACCCACAAGTTGGGTCCACTGCTACGGAAGTGGCCAAGCTTGATTGTAGCAGTGCCACCTGATCCAATATCCCCAAGATGTCACCTGAGAGTTAAAGGGTAGAGATGGAAGCTGGGTACGGTGGCTCCCAGCACATTGGGAGGCCAAGGTGGAAGGATCACTTAAGCTCAGGAGTTCGATCACCTGACGTCACAGTTCTCCACGTTGGCTGAGTTCAAGACCAGCCTGGCCAACATGGAGAAACCCTGTCTCTTAAAAAAAAAAAAATTATAAAATGATTTCAGAACATTTTGAAAATGAAAGAAATCAATTCTTCTCTAAACCTGTAGCTCCCCATTCTCCGAGGTAATGGCCTAAGTACTGCTCACAGTTTCAAAGAAGGGAGCAGGAAGATGGTGTCCACACAGAGAAGGACATGCCCACGCCAGGCTTTCTGATGCACACCGGGCTATCTCTCAAACCTGGCTTGATGGCTTCTGCCCCTACCAGTAGTGGAGACATATGGTACATTTAAGTATAAGCACCATCTCCCCTAACACCCAGGGAATACTGTATCTTTTCTAACCTTGGTTTCAAGTCTTAGAGACACTGGACAATATCCATTTTCTTTTCTCCTTATTGAATTATAGAACAGGGTTACAAAAAATAACAGTTGGCAGGGCACAGTGGCTTACACCTGTAATCCCAGCACTTTGGGAATCCAAGGCAAACAGATCACGAGGTCAGGGGTTCGAGACCAGCCTGACCAACAGGGTGAAACCCTGCCTGTACTAAAAATACAAAAAATTAGCTGGGTGTGATAGCGCACACCTGTAATCCCAGCTACTCAGGAGGCTAAGGCAGGAGAATTGTTTGAACGTGGGAGGCAGAGGTTGCAGTGAGCCGATATTGTATCACTACACTCCAGCCTGGGCAACAGAGTGAGACTCTGTTTCAAAAAAAAATTAGTAACAGTTAATCTCTATACCCTGAATCATATCTTAAATTATTTTTTGGGGGGGTCTCACTCTGTCACCCAGGCTCAAACAATCCTCCCACCTCAGCCTCCTGAGTAGCTGCGACCACAGGCATGTGCCACTATGCCAGGCTAATTTTTTGTATTTTTGGTAGAGACAGGGCTTTGTCATGTTACCCGTGCTGGTCTCAAACTGCTGAGCTCAAGTCATCCGCCCACCTCAGCCTTCCAAAGTGCTGGGATTATGGACATAAGCAACTGTGCCTGGACCTAAACCATATTGTGACAATCCACTGAAAAAGCCCTGACTCTAAGTCCAACAGCTCTTTTTTAAAAAAAAAAACAAAAACAACAGGGTCTGACTCTGTCACTCAAGGCTTAGGTTGGAGTACAGTGATGTGATCTCAGCTCACCACAACCTCCACCACCTGGGCTCAATAAACTCTCTACCTCAGCCTCTCCAGTGCCTGGGACTATAGGTGCAGGTCACCAGCCTGGTCGATTTTTTTGTTTTTTTTTTTTTTGTAGAGATGGAGTTTTGCCATGTTGCCCAGATTGTTCTCAAACTTCTGGCCTCAAGTGATCCCCTGCCTTGGACTCTCTTTTTTTTTTTTTTTTGAGACGGAGTTTCGCTCTTGTTACCCAGGCTGGAGTGCAATGGCGCGATCTCGGCTCACCGCAACCTCCGCCTCCTGGGTTCAAGCAATTCTCCTGCCTCAGCCTCCTGAGTAGCTGGGATTATAGGCACACGCCACCATGCCCAGCTAATTTTTTGTATTTTTAGTAGAGACGGGGTTTCACCATGTTGACCAGGATGGTCTCGATCTCTCGACCTCGTGATCCACCCGCCTCGGCCTCCCAAAGTGCTGGGATTACAGGCTTGAGCCACCGTGCCCGGCTGCCTTGGACTCTCTTAAATCGTGGGATTACAGGTGTAAACCACCACTTCCCACCCCAACAGAACTTTCTATTGTGATGGGTTCAAATCTGGACCATTTAATATGATAGACATTGTTTCCACGTAGACACCGAGCACCCGTAATGTGACTAGTAAAACTGAGCAAGTGATTTTTTTATTTAATTCCTTTTTTTTTTTTTTTTTTTTCAGACAGAATCTAGACTGGAGTGCAGTGGCATAATCTCAGCTCACTGCAACCTCCGCCTCCCAGGTTCAAGTGATTCCCTGCCTCAGCCTCCCGAGTAGCTGGGATTACAGGCACGTGCCACCACACCTCATTTTTATATTTTTAGTAGAGATTCGCCATGTTGGCCACGCTGGACTCCTGACCTCTGGTGATCCACCTGCCTTGGCCTCCCAAAGTGCTTGGATTACAGGTGTGAGCTACCCAGTCTGGCCTATTTCAGTTATTTTAATTTAAAGGGCCACACTGGCCAGTATCTGTAATACTGAGCAGTGCAGCTGTGCCCTGACTTCTCTAAGGCAGACTACTACAACTCACAAGTTATGGCGTAGCCTGTTAATACTGTTTCAGTGTGGCAAACTGAAACTCTGGTTTCAGAAAGAAAAGCACTTTTAAGAACAACAATCAAAGACGCACAGAATGGATTTGATGCACTTTCACCGCCTTGCTCCAGGAACATGCTCTGAGCTACGACAAGGCAGAGCAGGGGGCCTGCGGGCTTACACGACAAAATAAAATGGGGGAAACTGAGCTCCTAAGAGTAGTGACCCTGTATCCGGAAAACATGGGTGGCAAGCAGTGGGATTTACAGATATACGATGTGCTAAACTTACTGAATGAAGCACTTCTTCAATAAAAGATTCTAGAGAGAAGCACACCCCTCCCAGAGTTTTACCTCTTCATTACGCTAAATATTAAATTAATTCCCTAGAAAATATCCTCATGGTCCTGTTATTATAAGTCTCTGAAAACTAACTGCAGGAATTAGGTACTGCCAGCCTTTCTTCTAGGCAGAGTTTGTTCCACCATCACATTTAAAGGACAAGAAAACCACAGGCCTCTACATCAAAATGACGGTCCACTGGGGTGTCAAACAAGCCCTGTCCCTCTTCCAAAGCCCACTCCCCTCAGAGACATGCCAGAGGCCCCAAGATCTTCCCAGAAGAGGACAAAAATCACACTCTTGTCCAGGCTTGGTGGCTCATGCCTGTAATCCCAGCACTTTGAGAGGCCAAGGCAGGTGGATCACATGAGGTCAGGAGATCAAGACCATGCTGGCCATGGTGAATCCCTGTCTCTACTAAAATACAAAAAATTAGCCAGGCATGGTGGCTCACGCCTGTAGTCCCAGCTACTCAAGAAGCTAAGGCATGGGAACCACTTAAATCCTGGAGACGGATGTTACAGTGAGCTGAGACTGTGCCACTGCACTCCAGCCTGGCGAAAGAGCAAGATTCCATGTCAGAAAAAAAAAAAAATCACATTCTTAGAACCAAAAATTGTTGTCAGGTATGGTGGCTTATGTACGTAATCCCAGTAATTTGGGAGGCCAGTGAAGGAAGATCATTTGAGGCCAGGAGCTCAAGACCAGCCTGTGCAACAAAGCATGACCCCATCTATACAATCAATAATTTTTTTTTAAAAAAAGAACTGCAAATTGTCATGGTGGGTGTGGTGCTGCCTTGTCAGAAACTGCAGAGAAACAGCACTAACTCAATGCACAGCAAAGGCCCAGCATAGGGATCTTGGCTGTTTTTTTCCTGGGACTGTGGAGGCCAAGTCCTTTACTCCACACAGGCCTTGTCTGTGTTTAAGGGAACCCAGGGAAGGCAACTCATGATCTTCCCTCCTTCACATGGGCCTATACTACCATGTACTAAGCTTCAAAATGAACAGAAGGCAGAAGTGGTCATTTCTAAAGTTTCTCCCCTGGTAGTGCCTCCCAGAGAGAGCAAGGGGAAACACAGGAAGGAATGGGATCCACCTTTCATCTGTGCCTAAGAGAACATCGAGGTTCACACCATCCCAGCTCTAAGCCCCACTGACCATTCACCACCTGAGCCTGGTCACCAGGAAGGGACCTGACCAAACTGTGCTACACCCACGCACCTGCATATGACCTCTGGGTACATGCTCAAGCAATCAGATCCAAAGACAACATAGGGGTCTGCTTTCCTCTATGTTTCTTTCACAGGAGATAAACATCTCACATGGACATGGCCTCATCTGTTCTCTGAAGACCTGCTTTACCCACCAGACAAGGCTGAAGCTGGAACAGGTACCCAGAGTATTCAGCAAGTCCAAGACTGTCTACGCAATCCTCCATTCTACACTACCTGAAAGCAACCACTAAATGAAAAAAAAAAAACCCACCAGATTTCTCAGGGAGGAAATATCTATATCTATCTAGGTCAATAGGAGGGTGGGGCTTTGCCCAGGCCTAGGACCAGGACAAGCCCCATCCTGAAATGACCACGAAGCCCTTACCTGGAATCGCCATCCTGGTCATCAGCATGGTCGCCAGTGTTGTTAACAGCGTATCGGCTACGTGGTTTATCTGAGTGAGAGCAAAAAGGGGAGAAGAGCTGAGAAAACAGGATCCTTCCACATACAGGAGGGTTGTGGAACCATTAAACGCCATGTTTTCCTGCCTTAAGCAGCTGTGTGAAAGAAATCAAAATAAATAAATAAATAAATAAATAAAAATAAATAAAGCCATGTTTTCCAAAACATGGTCTATCCATATGGACTATTACTCAGACATAAAAAGGAATGAACATGGATGAACCCTGACAACATTATGCTGAACAAGCCAGAGACAAAAGGACAAATAGTGCACTTACAGTATATGAAATGTCTACAACAGGCAAATTCATCAAGACAGAAGGTAATTTAGAGGTTAGCAGGGGCTGGGAGTAGGGGAAATGAGTTATTGGTCAGTGGTTACAGAGTTTCAGTTTGGGCGATGAAAAAGTTTTAGAAATAGACAGCAGTAACGGTTGCACAATATAATGAAAGTAATTAATGCCACTTAACTATACATGTAAAAATCATTAAGATGACAAATCTTATGTTATCTTCAAAAACAGAGACAGGCCAAGCATGGTGGCTTATGCCTGTAATCCCAGCACTTTGGGAGGCTAAGGCAGGCAGATCACCTGAGGTCAGGAGTTCAAGACCAGCCTGGTCAACATGGTGAAACCCCATCTCTACTAAAAATACAAAAATTAGCAAGGAATGGTGGTTGGCACCTGTAATCTCTGCTACTCAGGGGGCTGAGGCAGGAGAATCACTTGAATCTGGGAGGCAGAGGTTGCAATGAGCCGAAATCGTGCCACTGCACTCCAGTCTGGGCAACAGAGTGAGACTCTGTCTCAAAAAAAAAAAAAAAAAGGAAACAAAACCAGTGAGTTTCCAAGAAGTTATGACAATGTACAGAAATGCTTTTGCTACTATGTTAAGTTTTTAAAAAAAAGACTTATAGACATACCTCAAGAGTTACTACAAGTCCTATTTCTAAAGGGAAACAAAATGAATGTAGCAATAAAGCAAATCACACAAATTTTTTTGGTTTCCCTGTGCATACAAGTTATGTTTGGGCTGGGTGCAGTGGCTCAAGTCTGTAATCCCAGCACTTTGGGAGGCCAAAAGTTCGAGACCAGCCTGGCCTACATGATGAAACCACGTCTCTACTAAAAATACAAAAATTAGCTGGGCATGGTGGTGTGCGCCTGTAAACCAGCTACTCATGAGGTTGAGGCATGAGAATTGCTTGAGCCTGGGAGACGAAGGTTGCAGTGAGCCGAGATCAAGCCACTGCACTACAGCCTGGATGACAGAGCAAGACTCCATCTCAAAACGAAAAAAACAAAAACAAAAAAAGGCTGGGCACAGTGGCTCATGCCTGTACTCCCAGCACTTTGGGAGGCTGAGGCGGGTGGATCACAAGGTCAGGAGATCGAGACCACCCTGGCTAACACAGTGAAACCCTGTCTCTACTAAAAATACAAATAATTAGGCAGTGTGGGGGCAAGCACCTGTAGTCCCAGCTACTTGGAAGGCTGAGGAGGTAGGAGAATCACTTGAACCTGAGGCGGAGGCTGCAGTGAGCTGAAATCATGCCACTGCACTCCAACCTGGGCAAGAAGAGAGAGACACCAGCTCAAAAACAAAAAAAAGTCATGTTTAGAGTATACTATGGTCTATTAAGTGTGTAATAGTATTAGGTGTAAAAAACAATGTATATACCTTAAGTTTAAAACTTTATTGCCTTGGGCAGGGAAAGTGGCTTTGAAAAAATAAAAAATAAAAAAATAAAAACTTCATTGCTTAAAAAAATGCAAACTTTATTGCTTAAAAAAATGCTAACAATCAGCCATGCACAGTGGCTCCTGCCTATAATCCCAGCACTTTGGGAGGCTGAGGCGGGTAATCAACTGAGGTCAGGAGTTGGGAGACCAGCATGGCCAACATGGAGAAACCCCATCTCTAATAAAAACATAAAAATTGGCCAGGCGTGGCTGGGCGCGGTGGCTCAAGCCTGTAATCCCAGCACTTTGGGAGGCCCAGGCGGGTGGATCATGAGGTCAAGAGATAGAGACCATCCTGGTCAACATGGTGAAACCCCGTCTCTACTAAAAATACAAAAAAATTAGCTGGGCATGGTGGCATGTGCCTGTAATCCCAGCTACTCAGGAGGCTGAGGCAGGAGAATTGCCTGAACCCAGGGGGCGGAGGTTGCGGTGAGCCGAGATCGCGCCATTGCACTCCAGCCTGGGTAACAAGAGCGAAACTCTTGTCTAAAAAAAGAAAAAAAGAAAAAAAATTGATCAGGTGTGGTGGCATGCACCTGTAGTCCCAGCTAATTGGGAGGCTGAGGCAGGAGGATTGCTTGAACCCAGGAAGCAAAAGTTGCAGTGAGCCGAGATCGCACTACCGCACTTGAGCCTAAGCAACAGAACAAGACTCCATCTCAAAAGCTGCCCCTCACAAAACAAGTGTTTTGCTCGTGAAAGGTCTTGTCTCAGTGTTGATGGCTGTTGACTGATTAGAGTGGTGGTTGCTGAAGGCTGAGGTGCTTCTAGCAATTTTGTAAAATAAGACAACAATGAAGTTTGCTACCTCCATCAGTTGACTCTTCCTTTCTTGAAAGATTTCTCTGTAGTACAGGAGTTGACAGCACTTTGCTCACCATAGAACTTCATCCAGAATTGGAAGCAATCCTCTTAAACCATACCACTACTATATCAACTAAGTTCATGTAATATTCAAAATCTCTGTTGTTATTTCAACAATGTTTACAACATCTTTACCAGGAATACATTCCATCTCCAGAAGCTGTTTTCTTTTTTTTTTTTTCCAGACAGGGTATCACTCTGTCACCAGGCTGGAGTGCAGTGGTGTGATCATGGCTTACTACAGTCTTGACATCCCAAAACTCAGGTGATCCTCCTGCCTCAGTCCCCTGAATAGCTGGGACTACAGGCATATGCCACCCATGCCCAGGTCATTTTTGTATTTTTAGTAGAGATGAGTTTTTGTCATGTTGCTCAGGCTGGTCTTGAACTCCTGGGCTCAAGTGATACACCTGCCTCTGGCTCCCAAGTGTTGGGATTACAGACATGAGTCACCACACCCAGCCCAGAAACTACATTCTTTGCTCATCCACAACAAGCAAGTCATCATCCATTCACGTTTTATCGTGAAATTGCAGCAATTCAGTCACATCTTTAGACCCCACTTTTTTTTTTTTTTTTTTTTTTGAGACGGAGTTTCGCTCTTGTTACACAGGCTGGAGTGCAATAGCGCGATCTCGGCTCACCACAACCTCCGCCTCCTGAGTTCAGGCAATTCTCCTGCCTCAGCCTCCTGAGTAGCTGGGATTACATGCATGCGCCACCATGCCCAGCTAATCTTTTTTTTGTATTTTTAATAGAGACGGGGTTTCACCATGTTGACCAGGATGGTCTCCATCTCTTGACCTCGTGATCCACCTGTCTCGGCCTCCCAAAGTGCTGGGATTACAGGCGTGAGCCACCGCGCCCGGCCCTAGACCCCACTTTTTAAATTCTAGTTCTCTTGCTATTTCCACCACATCTACAGTTACTTCCTCCACTAAAGTCTTGACTCCTACAACGTCATCCATGAAGGCTGGAATCAACTTCTTCCAAACTCCTGTTACTGTTGGTATTTTTACCTTCTCTCATGTGTTGTGTCGCCAATGTTCTTCATGGCATCTATGACACATGCTTTCCAGAAGGTTTTCTTTTTTTTTTTTTTTTTTTTTTTGAGACGGAGTTTCACTTTTGTTACCCGGGCTGGAGTGCAAGGGCGCGATCTCGGCTCACCGCAACCTCCGCCTCCTGGGTTCAGGCAATTCTCCTGCCTCAGCCTCCTGAGTAGCTGGGATTACAGGCATGCACCACCATGCCCAGCTAATTTTTTGTATTTTTAGTAGAGACGGGGTTTCACCATTTTATGTAACACATAAAATAATAATAATAAAGTTTGGCCAAGCGCGGTGGCTCCAGCCTGTAATCCCAGCACTTTGGGAGGCCGAGGCGGGCGGATCACAAGGTCAAGAGATCGAGACCATTCTGGTCAACATGGTGAAACCCCATCTCTACTAAAAATAAAAAAAATTATCTGCGCATGGTGGGGCGTGCCTGTAATCCCAGCTATTCAGGATGCTGAGGCAAGAGAATTGCCTGAACCCAGGAGGCGGAGGTTGCGGTGAGCCAAGATCGGGCCATTGCACTCCAGCCCGGGTAACAAGAGCGAAATTCCGTCTCAAAAAAAAAAAAAAAAAGTTTGAAAGACTGCAAGAATTACCAAAATGTAACAAAGACAAACAAAGTGAATATATGCTGTTAGAAAAATGGTGCTGATGGACTTCCTGCACACAGGGTTGCCATAAACCTTTATTTATTTATTTACTTAATTTTTATTTTTTAGAAGCAGTCTTGCTCTGTTGCCAAGCTGGAGTGCAACAGCGCCATCTCACCTCACTGCAACCTCTGCTACCTGAGTTCAAGTGATTCCCCTGCCTCAGCCTCCCAAGTAGCTGGGACTATAGGCACCTGCTACCACACCCAGCTAATTTTTTGTATTTTAGTACAAACGGGGTTTTACCATGTTGACCAGGCTGGTCTTGAGCTCCTGACTCGTGATCCAACCACCTTGGCCTCCCAAAGTGCTGGGATTACAGACATGAGCCACTGCACCAGCTCATAAACCTTTAACTTGTTAAAAAAAAAAAAAAATCACCCCCACACCCACCACCACCACAGAAACCCATAAAGTTAAGTGCAGAGAAACAAGATAGGCCCCTATGCACATGTACACACACACACACACACACATACACACACACACCCTCAGTGTGGGATGACAATTAGGTTGGAAAAAGCATAGGCAAAGTTTTTAAAAAATTAAATGTACATACACCAAAAGCCTTTATATACACAAACAATAATACCTTTCCAGAGTAAAAAAAAAAAAACTAAAAACTGGCCGGTCACCAGCCTGGCCAACAATGTGAAACCCCATCTCTACTAAAAATACAAAGAAGATGTGGTGGTGCACGCACCTGCAGTCCCAGCTACTCAGGAGGCTGAGGAAGGAGAATCACTTGAATCCAGGAGGTGGAGGTTGCAATGAACCAAGATCACGCCACTGCACTCCAGCTTGGGCAACAGAGCAAGACTATCTCAAAAAAAATTAATCAATTAATTTAAAACCTAGTGATGAACCTAAAAAGAGTGCAAGAGGCCCATGAAAACAATGGAAAAGCTAACGAGGGAGAAAATAATGAATAGAAGACATACCATGTTCTTCAATGGGAAGATTCAACACAAAGATGCTTTTTCTTTTTTTTTTTTTTTTTTTTTTTCGAGACAGAGTTTCGCTCTTGTTACCCAGGCTGGAGTGCAATGGTGCGATCTCGGCTCACGGCAACCTCCGCCTCCTGGGTTTAGGCAATTCTCCTGCCTCAGCCTCCTGAGTAGCTGGGACTACAGGCACGTGCCACCATGCCCAGCTAATTTTTTGTATTTTTAGTAGAGACGGGGTTTCACCATGTTGACCAGGATGGTCTCGATCTCTCGACCTCGTGATCCACCCGCCTCGGCCTCCCAAAGTGCTGGGATTACAGGCTTGAGCCACGGCGCCCGGCCCAAAGATGCTTTTTCTTCCCAGTTAATCAACACATTCAGAGTTACCTTCAATAAAACACCAAGAGCTTGGGAGTGAGACCTAATACCTTAATGCTAAAGTTTACAGGGAAAAAAAAAATAAAGCATAGCCAAGATAATGCTGAAAAAGAAAAGTAATGATAAGTGACTAATCTTACTTGATAGTATGACATAATATAAAGTTACAGTAATTAGTATGGAACCTACACATAGATCATTGGAGGAGATAAGATCAAAAAAATAGATCCCAGTAAACATGAGAATTTAGCACATGATAAAGAGCAGAATCAATCAGTGGAAGAAAAGTGAATTATTCAATAAAATTGTGTTGGGACTAGTTAGCCATATGGAAAAGAAAATTACGTTGGCCCAATCAATCACTATTTGGCCACGCTGTGGCCTGTTATAGTTCCTGTTCCACAGGGCTCCAGAGGCAACCAAGCAGTTCATCCACAACTCTTAGCAAGTGCCCAGAAAACATCAGCTCTTAGGATGAGCCTTCACTTTAAGCCAAGACAAACACATTTAAAAACAAGATGTAGGCCGGGCGCGGTGGCTCAAGCCTGTAATCCCAGCACTTTGGGAGGCCGAGGCAGGTGGATCACAAGGTCAAGAGATCGAGACCATCCTGGTCAACATGGTGAAACCCCGTCTCTACTAAAAAAAAATACAAAAAAACTAGCTGGGCATGTTGGCGCGTGCCTGTAATCCCAGCTACTCAGGAGGCTGAGGCAGGAGAATTGCCTGAACCCAGGAGGCGGAGGTTGCGGTGAGCCGAGATCGCGCCATTGCACTCCAGCCTGGGTAACAAGACGAAACTCCGTCTCAAAAAAAAAAAAAAAAAAAAAGAAAAGAAAATACTTCTACTGGCAGGTCAGTAAACAGCTATCTCTCTAGGCCGGGCGTGGCGGCTCAAGCCTGTAATCCCAGCACTTTGGGAGGCCGAGGCGGGTGGATCACAAGGTCAAGAGATCGAGACCATCCTGGTCAACATGGTGAAACCCCATCTCTACTAAAAATACAAAAAAGTAGCTGGGCATGGTGGCACGTGCCTGTAATCCAAGCTACTCAGGAGGCTGAGGCAGGAGAATTGCCTGAACCCAGGAGGCGGAGGTTGCAGTGAGCCGAGATCGTGCCATTGTACTCCAGCCTGGGTAACAAAAGCGAAACTCTGTCTCAAAAAAAAAAAAAAAAAAAAAAAAATCAGAACTCTGGCAAGAACTACACAGAAGAAAACAGGGTAACTATAGCTTTCTCACAAAAGCCTATTTTTTCTTTTTAAGACAGAGTCTCCCTTGGTCGGTGACCCAGCGGCATGATCTCAGCTCACTGCAAGCTCTGCTTCCTGAGTTCAAGCGATTCTCCTACCTCAGCCTCCCGAGTAGCTGGAACTACAGGCGCCCTCCATCACAAAGCTACTTTTTTTATTTTTAGTAGAGACAGGGTTTCACCAGGTTGGCCAGGCTGGTCTTGAACTGACCTGGTGATGGACCCACCTCCGCCTCCCAAAGTGCTGGGATTACAGGAGTGAGCCACCATGCCCGACCACAAGGGCCCCTTTTTGTTGTTGTTGTTGTTGTTAGCCATAGTTATTTTGGCTACAAAGGCCTATTTTTACCTTAAATACACAAAGAACTCCTTCAAATCTATAAGGAAAAATATCAAACAACCCAAGAGAACATTAGGCAAGGTTATAAGTAAGTCATTCACTGAAAAGGAAATCCAAATGGCTCCAAAACAGGAAAACATGCTTTCTATCTTAATTATAAGGCAAGAAAACATTAAAATTACTACCAGACACAATTTTTCACCTATCAGATTAACAAAGATTGAAAAATCCAACCTATTAAAAATACATATGCTCCTTATCCCTTAGACCCAACCATGCTACTTCTGGGATTTAATATTACAAGAATTACGTGACCAGGCCAAGTGGCTCACACCTGTAATCCCAGAAGTTTGGGAGGCTGAGGCGGGCAGATCCAGGTCAAAGTTCAAAAGCAGCCTGACCAATGTGATGGCTGTAACTGGGGGTGGCAAAGACAACTTCAGATGTTGGAGTATTCCCCTTTCCCCCCACCGCACCCCCCAGGGCTCTGTCGCCTGGGCTAGAGTGCAGTGACCCGATTTCGGCTCCATGCAACCTTCACCTCCAAGTGAAGTGATTCAAGTGATTCTCCTGCCTCAGCCTCCCAAGTAGCTGGGATTACAGGCACGTGGCACAACTCCCGGCTAATTTTTGGGGGGGTGTTTTTGTTTTTGTAGTAGAGAGGGCGTTTCACCATGTTGACCAGTCTGGTCTTGAACTCCAGCCCACAGGTGATCCACCAGCCTCAACCTACCAAAGTGCTGAGATTACAGGCAGGAGCCACTGCACCCGACCTTGTTCACCTAATTTTATTTTCCCAAGATGAATACATCCAAAACCATGTAAGAAAAAAAAAAAGGCTGGTGGGCCAGGCACGGTGGCTCTCACTTGTCATCCTTGCCAAGGATCGCGCCTCTGCACGCCAGCACGGGCAACGTAAATAAAACCAAAAATAAAAGTAAAAAAGGCTGGAGACGGATGCAATGCCAGCAGCAGCTGCTGTGGTGTGATGAACAACGCATGGTGTTTGGTTTCGTATTTTACTTTACTTTATTTTATTTGCCTTTCCCTACTTTGCCAACACTCGACCAGGAGCAGGCGTCGGAAGCTCGGCGAGGCGGCCCCCGCCCAGCGCTCACTTACTTGTCTGGGACGCCGGGTGCTCCTGGCTTCTCTGGAAGGGGTACCTGAACAGCAGCTTATTGCCCCTGCTCCCGGAGCTCACCAGAATCACGCTGATGGGGCTGGTGTTGTCCCCCATCCCGCCGAGGGGCCGGGGCCGGGGCCGGGGGCGGAGGGGGCCTGAGGAGGACGGGGGAGGGGCGGAGGGGGAGGGGCGGAGGGGGCCTGAGGACGACGGTGGGAAACGGGAGGGGAAGGGGCGGAGGGGGCCTGAGGACGATGGGGGGAGGGGGAGGGGGCCTGAGGAGGATGATGGAGGGGGAGGGGGAGGGGGGCCTGAGGAGGACGATGGAGGGGGAGGGGGAGGGGGCCTGAGGAGGACGATGGAGGGGGAGGGGGAGGGGGCCTGAGGACGACGATGGAGGGGGAGGGGGAGGGGGCCTGAGGACGACGATGGAGGGGGAGGGGGAGGGGGCCTGAGGACGACGATGGAGGGGGAGGGGGAGGGGGAGGGAGCCTGAGGACGACGATGGAGGGTAGGGGAGGGGGAGGGGGAGGGGGCCTGAGGAGGACGATGGAGGGGGAGGGGGAGGGGAGGGGGCCTGAGGAGGACGATGAAGGGGGAGGGGGAGGAGGAGGGGGCCTGAGGAGGACGATGGAGGGGGAGGAGGAGGGGGCCTGAGGAGGACGATGGAGGGGAGGGGCGGACGGGGCCTGAGGAGGACGAGGGAGGGGGAGGGGGAGGGGACCTGAGGAGGACGATGGAGGGGAGTGGCGGACGGGGCCTGAGGAGGACGAGGGAGGGGGAAGGGGAGAGGAGGGGCGGAGGGGGCCTGAGGAGGACGAGGGAGGGGGCGGGGGCCGAGGAGGCCTGAGGACGATGAGGGTGGAGGCAGAGAGGGCCTGAGGAGGCCGGGCCGGAGGCGCAGAGAGCAGCGCGACAGTCGCCAACTCACGTGCCGCTCGCCGGGCTCGCGAGACTTCGGCAACGCGGCGCGGAGGAGGTGCTGCGGCGAAGGGCGCGCGCGGGCCCGGGAAACGGCGCAGGCGCAGGTAGCGGAATGCGCAGGCGCGGGGTCTTCTGTCGCCTCGGAGCCGCTCAGGCGCACTCTGGGGGCGCTGGAGTCTCGCCTGGGGTCTGGGGGTCCCGTTCACCGCTGTGGATGGGAAAGGAGCGGGGTCGAGGCAGCGTCCCTCTCTGTGCTGCTTTCCTCATTTTAAAAATAACGCTTGCGGCCGGGCGCGGTGGCTCACATCTGTAATCCCAGGACTTTGGGAGGCCGAGGCTGGCGGATCACGAGGTCAAGAGATCGAGACCAGCCTGGCCAAGATGGTGAAACCCTGTCTCTACTAAAAATGCAAAAATTAGCCGGGCGTGCTGGCGCTCGCCCGTAATCCCAGCTACTCAGGAGACTGAGGCGGGAGACTCGCTTGAACCTGGGAGGCGGAGGTTACAGTCAGCTGCGATCGCGCCACTGAACTCCAGCCTCATGACAGAGCTAGACTCCCTCTCAGAGAAAAAAAAAAAACAAACTTTTGTGCTTTAAAGGACACCAGAAAAATGAGAAATGCACCCGCAAAACAGAAGAAAATATTTGTAAGTCACATTATCTGATAAGGAATTGTATCTAGAATACAGGAAACTTACAACTCAACAATAAAAAGACAATCAATTGAAAAATCCGGAAAGGATATGAATATTTTTCCAGTGGGTTATACAAATGGCCAATAAGCACCCGACGATGCTGAGCCCAAGGCGGAGGCTCGGGGCTGTGTCCCGGGTCTGAGAGGCTGGGAGCTCCAGAACAGCCTGGGCAACAGGGCGAGACCCCGTCACCATAAAAAATAGGAATTTAAAACATGCTCAACATATTTAGGCATTAGGGAGATGCCAATCAGAACCGCAAATGGATGCCACATCCCACCTCCTACGCTGGCTAGAATCAAAAAGACAAAATAAACCTCAGCAGAGGTGTGGAGAAATGGGAATATCTCTTTTTTTTTTTTTTTTGAGACGGAGTTTCGCTCTTGGTACCCAGGCTGGAGTGCAATGGCACGATCTCGGCTCACCGCAACCTCCGCCTCCTGGGTTCAGGCAATTCTCCTGCCTCAGCCTCCTGAGTAGCTGGGATTACAGGCACACGCCACCATGCCCAGCTAATTTTTTGTATTTTTAGTAGAGACGGGGTTTCACCATGTTGACCAGGATGGTCTCGATCTCATGACCTCGTGATCCACCTGCCTCGGCCTCCCAAAGTGCTGGGATTACAGGCTTGAGCCACGGCGCCTGGCTGAAATGGGAATATCTCTCCTGTTGATGGGCATGTAAGATGCTACAGACGCTGTGGAAAACAGGCTGGCAGTTCCTGAAAGGTTAGAGTTAACGCAACACTCAGCAAGTCCCCCTTTTAGATATATAGCCAAGAGAAATGAAAGCATGTGTCCAAGCCGGGCACGGTGGCTCAGGCCTGTAATCTCAGCACTTTGAGAGGCCGAGGTGGGTGGATCACGAGGTCAGGAGATTGAGACCATCCTGGCTAACACGGTGAAACCCCGTGTCTACTGAAAATACACAAAAGTAGCTGGCTGTAGTGGCACATGCCTGTGGTCCCAGGTACCTGGGAGGCCGAGTCAGGAGAATCGCTTGAACCCAGGAGGCAGAGGTTGCAGTGAGCTGAGATTGCGCCACTGCACTCCAGCCTGGGAGACACAGCAAGACTCCATCTCAAAAGAAAAAAAAAAAAAAAAGGAAAAGAAAGCATATGTCCACATAAAAGCATGTGTGTTCTTAGAAATATCATTCATAAGGCCGGGCGCGGTGGCTCACGCCTGTAATCCCTGCACTTTGGGAGGCCGAGGCGGGTGGATCACGAGGTCAAGAGATCGAGACCATCCTGGTCAACATGGTGAAACCCCGTCTCTACTAAAAATACAAAAATTAGCTGGGCATGGTGGCGTGTGCCTGTAATCCCAGCTACTCAGGAGGTTGAGGCAGGAGAATTGCCTGAACCCAGGAGGCGGAGGTTGCGGTGAGCCGAGATCGCGCCATTGCACTCCAGCCTGGGTAACAAGAGCGAAACTCCGTCTCAAAAAAAAAAAAAAAAAAAGAAAGAAATATCATTTCATAATGGCCCAAAGTGGAAGCAAACTGAGGGTATATTTATGAAGGGGTGAATAAACTCTGGTATAGTTCATATGATGGAATGCTATTCAGCCATAAAATGGAATGAAGTACTGGCACATGAATTAATCTTGAAGACATACTAATATATGAGTCTATTTATGTAAGATGCCCAGAATAGGTAAATCCATAGAGACAGACAGGTTAGTGGCGGCCTGGGGCTGAGGTGAGGTGAAAAAAGGAGCAATTGATAATGCCTATGGGTTTTTTGAAGGCAAATGATGAAAATGTACTGAAGTTGGCTGTGGTCATGGTTGCACAGCTCTGTGAATATACTAAAAGACATAGAAGTGTATACTTCAAGTGGATAAACTTTATGGTATATCAATTATATCTCAATAACTTTTTTTTTTTTTTTTTTTTTTTTGAGACGGAGTTTCGCTCTTGTTACCCAGGCTGGAGTGCAATGGCGCAATCTCCCCCCCAGGAAATAAAGATAAGGGTTTACGGGAGTTCTAATGAAGAAACTCCCAGAAAACAATCACAACAATATGATCCCAGGGCGACCCGGCGACCACCCCCCACACCCCCAAACCACAACAACCCCAAAAATAAATGCTGAACAGAGCCTGCACACCAACAACAAGACCTACCCAACTTGTTTGCAATCCTACGTGGCTACAGGTAAGAAGGGGTTGACCACCAAACACAACACAAGAACATCTCACAACTAACGCCAATAACCACAAAAGATCGCAGCAACACCTCACGAAGTAACCATGACAAAAATAGGGTCCATTTAAGAAGGGAAAAACTGAAGATCCATAGGAAGTTTAAAAATTACAAAAACAGTAATAAAGGAGTGAAAGGTGACTGGGAGGTCTTATTGGGATTAAAGAGGAAAATAAGGAGAAGATAAACATAACAATGATGAGAGGGAGGTTAAAAGGGTACAAGAGTAAGGATATGGAAGCAAAGGGGGGGGAAAGGGGTTAAGGGAAGGTATGAGGGGATGTATACGAATAAACAAGTGACTTAAGATTAAGACACAGACGAATATTGGATATGGGTGTGTTGTGAAAAGAGTAAAGCGGAGAATAGATAAGGAGTGGTGGATATAGGTAAGAAAGGAAGTGTAAGAAGATAGAAATAGCAGAGGTGGAGGTCGGAAGTGAGTGAGGGAAAACTGGAAACAGTACAAAAGGAGATTAAGAAGAGCAAGAAGGAGGGCTAATGTCAAGATAATAAGGAGAATTGAATAAACAGAGGATTGAGGGAAATAGGGAGTGGAATACAGACATGGAGCAAACTAAGTACTAAAAAAAAAAGAGATAAGGAGAGGAGGCAATAAGGGTGTGTAGTTGAGGGGGTGGAGTTGAGAAGTGTTAAGATGTTAAGATTTTGAAAGTATACAACTTCCGACTTATTTTGATTCGAGAGCTCAAAGGGGGTGAGATTCTCGATCAATTCCAGAGACACTGGAGGAGATAGAGCGGCAGGTCGGAACGTGAGGCAGGTGGTGGGGGCCCAGGGAATGGGTGCTGTAGTACGTGAGACTCCTTACGGAACACGGGGATGGTAACATCAAAGGGGTGCGGACCAGTACTTTGACGGCAACACTGAAGGAAGAATCTGCCTGCTTAACCATGCTGCTGCCCCAGTGGGCAGAATCTTGAGGCTCCAGGCTGGCCTCCTGCCAGTAACGCTGGTACTAATTGTTATTTAGACTATAGTAGTCAGGCCGGGCGCGGTGGCTCGTGCCTGTAATCCCAGCACTTTGGGAGGCCGAGATGGGTGGATCACCGGAGGTCAGGAGTTCGAGACCAGCCTGGCCAACAATGGTGACACCCCATCCCTATTAAAAAAAAAAAAAAGAAAGAAAGAAAATAATAATAATAATAATGAGTGCTGGAACTGGTAAAAGCACAGGGAGCTCACCATGCCCCCAGCCCACGGAGGTCTTGGGTGTGTCCCTGCCTGCGCAGGGCTGGGAGCAGGGCTGTCCAGAGAGTGGCACTCCATCCCAGTCCCACTCTCAGGGGCAGCACTTCAGAGTCCATGT